CAAAGAAATACATATTCATATACATTCGGGTCCACTAGTACAAGAAATCTATTATGACCAAACACAAGGTCCAAAAATTCAAAATACAATCTTGTACTAATCATCAGAGCTATGCATCAAAAGCAAATCTTCAACCAAAATGCACTTAAGAAAAGCCCTAAATCTTTTCCTTTCCTTTACCTTCCACCCAACCTGCAACACATATTTAAAATCACAAAAACGAGGGTTAGGCTTTAAAAGTCTAGTGAGATACCCTATTCATGTCATTGCAGGGTGAAGGATCACCAAAACCTTTACAAAAATCAAGTATTCATAAAAATAACAATTATATGAATCCATAATACCAAATACCAAGTCATTTCTCAAATTCAAGCTATCAATTAGCTTATTCAAATCTCATACCTTTTGAACCAATCAGGTTCCATACAATGCCACTTTTTAAACCTTTTTTTCTCAATAACGAGGTTTAACAAAGTTTCAGGCAAAAATAGATCTTTTCTCCACAATAACATCCAATCTATGATTTCCAAATAAGAACCTTGATCCTAAATCCTTAAATCACAAAGAAATAAAGATTCTAGATCTAGGTAGTCTCAAAGGATATAATAGAAAAAGTTATATAAACCACACACACAGACAATGCCACCCTTATATCCAATGGACACCTCTCCTTGATATGCCACCCTTATAACAAATGGACACCTCTCCTTGATATGCCACCCTTATAACAAATGGACACCTCTCCTTGATATGCCTCCCTTATTTCTTCAAAACATTTATAAAATAATTCCAAATAGACCGCAGTCCTTGGAAACATTTTCAGATCAAAAACATTTATATCAAAACTTCATTTTATGAAAAAATAACAATTTTCATCAAGCCATAAAATATCATTTCAAATTTGATCAACAAGTCCGATCAATCAAATCCGGTCAACACTCATCCGGATAACAAGTCCGGTCAACCAAATCCGGTCAACACTCATCCGGATAACAAGTCCGGTCAACCAAATCCGGCCAACACTCATCCGGATAACAAGTCCGATCAACCAAATCCGGTCAACACTCATCCGGATAACAAGTCCGGTCAACAATCCAATTAAGCCTCATCCGTATTACACTTGGAATAAAATCCGTTTTGTTGTCCGGATATCTAATCCGGTCAACATACCATACTTAAAATAATTTCACACTTCAATCGAATATCTAATCCGGTCAATCATACCACACACTTGCTAATCGGTTAAACACTTAGAACAATTTCAAGTTTGTCCGGATAACAAATCCGGACACTAGTCCGTTCAACTCTCATCCGGTTTAAAGATAAACCGTTCAACCCTCAACCGGTTTAACCAACTCCGGACAACAAACCGCTCACGGCTTGTCCGGTTTATACTAATCCGGTCACTAAACCGCTTAAAGCTTAACCGGTTTAAAAACAATCCGGACAATACCCCGTACAAGGCTTGTCCGGTTTACACCCTTATCCGGTCAAGCTTTGTCYGGATAACACTTAGAACAAAAATAAACATGCTCTCTTYAAATATGAATAATATGAAGCATGTAACTGAAACCAGTAGGATTTTAATACAAAAAGGTTTAGAAACCACTTACCTTTTTAAAGCTTTTGAACACAAAAGGCTTGCAATCAACCTTTTAAAACTGAATTCTTAAAAATAGCTTGAAATCAACTTGAAATCACCCTCTAATATGCAATCCGGACAACTCTTTCTAACTCCCTCTCAAATTCGCTCAAAGTGACAAGAAAAGGCCAAATGAAAGGGGTAACCCCCCTTTTATACTTACCAAATGGGGAAAGGTCGGCTACCGCCTTCCCCCTCTTTTGCCACCTCTTGCATGCACGTATACATGCACACATACACACACCTTGCACATTCATCCATTTTCACATTAATATATATATATATGTTCTTAAACATATATATATATATATGTTCTTAAACATATATATATATATATATATCCAAATATCATTTTACATACCGGCACGTAACAAATTATCATGCTATCACGAAAATCATTTAGTCAAATATTCATGTATAACTTTAACTTAGGTAATAACCAGGATCTGGTTATCACACCTTTCTTCGTAACGAGTCTAATTGGGTCAAAATGACACTAAATGGGTCATAGTTAGTCTAACTAGTTGTTAATACGACTAGTTGGATAGAATGT